TTTCAGAACTTCTTATATAGATTTTTTTAAAATATATCTCTGAGGGAAAGTGGTGTTGGTCTCTCTTCAACACTCCTAATTACTCTTTTAAGTTATTTTACAATTTCAGGTTATTCTATTGAAGATGTTTTTTTCTTGCTCAACTTAATTATCATTATTTTTATGTAAATCTCTAGCTTTGTAAGGATCTCCTAAATCTTTCTCACTTCTATGTTGGGTATTATGACATTGTTATTCTATTTTTTGTAATGAATCAACCTAGTGAGTTGCCTTATTTGTTCTTCAATTTTTTTAAGAGCATAAGATTTTTTTTATACTTGGATTTTATTTGTAAAATAATGTTTTCCAATACTATTTTCTCAATCCTTTCATGATAAAGTTATTCAAAATCTGAGGGATAGCACTATAGTGCAACGTGTCTAAATGATGTGGTGCTATGATTTTTAGAATTGTTGTGAAATTATCACCTAAATCTACCATATTTTTAATATTCAAGTTATAGATTTTTAAAGAAAATACTATAAATTATACATGCAATATTAATAATGAATCATATTATAAATTCTAGCTACTTTTTTAGGATTTACCCTATCAACAAGCCCCTAGAAATTTTTGGTAGTCATTTCCTCTTTTAATTTATAGGCTTCCTAAAATGGTATAGACATTAATGATCCTCTAGCTACAACCTCAATTATATCTCTAAGAGGTCCTACTAATCCATTATAAAATGTTTGAATAATCAATTAATTAGGTAATGTATAATACAAGATGTTTTAAGCATTTCCTTAAATCTTTTCCAACTCTCATAAAAGGATTCTACTTGAAACTGAGTAAAATAAGTTATATCATTTCTAAGTTTGAAAGTTTTTGAAGGTGAAAAATATTTAGCAAGATGCTTATGAGCTAACTCATTCCAAGTGGTTATAGGGGCTGGGGATAAAGAATTTAATAATATTTTAACTTTATCTCTTAGAGAAAGGAAAACAATCTAAATCTAATAGCATCATCACTAACACCATTGTACTTAAATGTTGCACAAATTTCTATGAAGCTCGCTAAATATGAATTGGGAACTTTTATAAGAGTTTCCCCAAACTAAGAGTTTTGAACCATTTGAATAATAGCTGGTTTTAATTCAAAATTATTAGCATAGATTATAGGTATATGTATACTTTGATTAATTCTATCTTCTAAAGAGTTTTCATAATCCTTAAGAGGTTTAGAATGATTTTGTTGTAACACAAATTCAGCCATTTTCAAAATCTTTTTAGTTTTCCAAATTTTAGAAAGGGTTCTCTCAATTTTAGAATCAAATGACAAAAATTTCTTTCTATGGCTATAAACTATGCAAGCAAGAAAAGAAACAAATAAATAAAATATAGGTTGGTCTAACTTTGTAATTAATTCATAAATCTAGTTCAAATTTTACAAAAAGCAAAATACTTTCCCATCAATGGTGCCAAAACTTTGATATGGGTATGATAGTTTGGTGGAAGTTAATTTTGAATTATAAAAATAAATGTTTAAGTCTTTATTTCCCCTAAATAATTATTATTTCTTAGTTATAAATTACTAAACCTCACTTAATATATGCAAGTATACATGCCAAATCAAGTAATAAACTGATAGAGTAGAGTGTTGAACCCACGAGGAAGTGTGCTTTTTAACAAACAACTAATATTGTTTACTCTAATTACAAAAATATATGTTTTTATTAAGAGATTGAATCTCCATAATAAACATTTAGTTATATATTTGGTGAAAATATGTTATTTTAGTTGTGTTGTGTAGGAAAAATACAAAAGACGGTAAAAAAACTCTAAGTCTAATCTTACGATGTGGTGTCAAACAAATAAATGTTGCAGTGCCATCAAAGACCCTAACCGAGCACCACATCATTAACATTATGGTGCCAACCTCTCTATCAAACAACATTGAGGTGTCAAACTGGCTAGCTTCGCATCGTCATGTTCTCTATCTTCCATTGTTACAACATCCAATTTATAATGCCTTAGAACAAAAATTACCCTTTTGATGCTATAACATTTGAAAGTCAACAGTGCTACTATGTAGTAGTTATAAATTTCAATGACATGACCTATTAAAAAAATAATGAAAATGTTCACTTAGTAACTAATCAACATGAGCAATAATCAAGATAGAGTCAAAACAATGGCACATCAGCTTCAGTTCATTTATTAGGCACAACGATGCCAATCTTTTAAGTGCCACATCTCCAATTGCATACTTTATATTTTTTCTATAAATAGTCATTGTGTTATGTTTGTAAGGTAGTTCAATCACTTATTTATTTTCAGTACATTTCATACCACTTCTTTAAATTTCTCTTAGTGTGATAACTAACAAAATTTAGGGAAATACTTAATATGATCAATAGAGTGTTTAGTTTATGTTTGTTTGAGAAACTCCATACATTAACGAAGGAGTGTAGATGAGATATATTGAACCATCCTGGTGATATCGTTCTCTTGTATTTTTATTCTTATATGATTTTTATATAAATGAGTTTTCTTATCTTTTCATCCATGTCTAGCTAATTCCTTAGTTTTGGATTGATGATGCAGAGAATATATTAAGTACTATTAAAAATTCTTATGCTCTAAAGTTAAAAGATGTTTTCAATATGATCCAACTTTTTATTTAATGTGTATAATTACCATATATATAGTTAAAACCTTGTATGATTTATAACCTCAATGAAGGAATACAAATGCTGGTGAACATTCCATCTCTCATTTTTTTTATATGCAAATGATGTTCTTATTTTTGGGAAAGCCTCTACTTTAGGGTATTAACTCTTCTTTGAGGTTTCAAGACTGAAAGTTAATCAAGAGAAGAGTTCCATTATTTTTTCTAACGGGTATTTTATTACTTAAAATATTGGTCAAATTTTGGGTATCCCTATTTCTTAGGACATTATGAAATATTTTTGTTAATTTCTTGTAAACGGCTTTTAATTTTTGATTTTCAACTTTTGATGAATAAAATTATTAATCTTCTTATTGGTTGGAGAGCTAGGATTTTATCTTATGCTAGTAGAGTCAAATATATTAACCTCACTATTTTTAATATTATTTGTTATTGGATTAGATGGATTTCATTAACTAAATCTTGTTTTAAATTTTTCAAAAAATCTTGCTCTAATTTTTTATTTTATGGGGAAGTTAACTAATATTAGAAGGATTTATATGATTGCTTGGAAGGATGTTTGTAAACCTAAAAAGGTTGGCGGATTAGGGATTCCTAATCTGAAGGCTTTATGCTTAGCTTATGGGTGTTCTCTTATATGATACATCGTTAATAATATGGGGCCTTTGTCTGTTTAGGTTAAATTTAAATATATTTCTTGCTGGAAGCCTTGTTTGTTAAGAGAGTTGCTACTTAGCGTTTTGCATGCTTTATATTCTTGCAACTTATTATTTTGATGATTCCCAATATTATTATATTGATTATTAATTTCTCCTAACATATTTTGGAAGAAGTGTTTTTGGCTATTGTATGTACTAACATTTCAGTAAAATCATACTCCATATAGTTGAAGACTTCAAATAAATATCTGATTATAATATTTTATAGTTTTGAGTCTGTATTTTATTCATTTTTTGAGTTAGAGAGAGTGTGACTGTAATTGAGTAATTAAGCACACACACACTGGGGGAGATCTTTAAATGTCAATATTTCTTATACTGATCATACGAAATGAACCATGTTCATACGAAATGATCAGGTCCGTTATACCCCTCGATGAGCAATGGAATGAATAGCAAGTGAGAAATTTTTCTAAGTGCTGATCGTCCAGACGAATTGTCCCATTCGTCCCTGGACGTTGTCCTCTAGATTCTTAATTTGAACTATTTCTATGTGATTTGTGGTTGAAAAATCTTTTTCAAAAACTTCTTTAAAAAGTTTGAATCGGTTTAAATGTTTAAGAGAGAAAATTTGTTTAAATTACCAATTCACCCCCCCCCCCCCCCCAATCCCCCCCCCCCCCCCCTCTTGGTTAGCCGCTGGGACATAAAATTAGGTTTAACAACCTAATTCATAATTAAAAAGTATCAACAAGTGGTATCAGAGCTTTGTTTCAAAATTATAAGTTTAGACTACTTTTTGATTAATGACCATAGCTATATTTGAAAACAGAAACACTGTTGAGGGTTACTCTAAACTAGACCTCCATTGTTTAAAAATATTCCTTTTGATTTTTGAAAAACACACATGTCTACATTTTTATAGTCACTTGATTACCGTATGTGGATCTTAGTTCAATAAGGGTATACAAAACCAACTAGATTATTTGACGGAGTTAGAGTTGAATCTCCCTTTACGGACAAGACAGTAGAAGAATGTGACTTAGCACAACTTAACGCTAAATGCCTGAATAGTTTCTATTATGCTCTTAAATCTGAAGATTACATGCGCGTTTCTACTTGCAAGAGTGGAAAGGATATATGGGATAGACTTTGTATAACTTATGAGAGAACTAATGAATTTAAATAATCAAGACTTAATATCTTGTTGCATGACTATGAACTGTTTCACATGAAACCCAATGAATCCATTTCTAAACTGTACACAAGATTCACACAAATAGTTACCTCTTTACATGCATTTTTTTTTTTTTTGAAAGAAATGCAGAAAATTGCATTAAAAGTAAAGAAGAAAAGCAATTACAAACAACTCAAGTAACACCGAGAGCACTACATTCCTCCTTCAAACAATACAAGAATGAAGGAGGAATATAATCAAAATGAAGATCATCACATAAAAAAGAACCATCCAAAGCCAAATTAGCGCATATATCCGCTAATTTGTTACCATATCTACTAGAACAAGAAAAAAAAAACTTTCTTAAAATCAAGTAAAAATGCCAAATCATCTTCAATTACTCTACTAACCTTCCATCTCTTGACCGACCTCTGAAGTAGTATAATGATATTAAAGTTGTCTCCTTCGATGATTACTCCTTGCGCTTCAAACATCTACTCTTGATTCACATTTTTCAGATACAACACCGCTACCATCTCCAACTGAGCTGCATCCCAGTGCAAAAGCTGATAACCAAAGGATATCAGAAATCTCCCATTGCCGTCTCTTGCAACACCACCAATACCAGCTATATTGTTCTTCTTGATAGCTGCATCTACATTAATTTTTATCCAGCTAGGAGGAGGGGGATGCCAATGAAAAAATAGCAAATACTGGTTAGCATTCCAGTAATCCGGCTAAAAATTTAAGAAGTTACTCCTAATAGCATAGGAAACAGTATTAACAGCTATAGAATTATCGGATTCTTCTTTATCACCTTGCACCAATCTGCATCTGCTCTTCCAAACCAGCCATACAGTTGTACAAAAAAGATTTGCAACAAGAGCATGCCTACCCAGAAAACTCTTGATTCCGACCATACATTCAGCAAAGCTATTAAAAAATGGAACTTGAAACCCCCAGTTATTCAATAATAAAATAACATTCCTTAGTTAGAACATCTGCCAACAATATGGTTATTATTTTCCTCCTCCTCACATCCCCTTGGACATTCATAACAAGTAATCAACTTTCTACTCACGAGAAAGGAATAAGTAGGAATAGTATTATTACAAACTCTCCACCAAAATAATTCAATAATTGGTTTCAACTTCAACTTCCTCATCCAGTTCCACTGGGTATTCTTCTCCTCATGATCCATAGCAGCTATAGAAGCCAACGCCGTAATTGACTTACCTTAAAATTTAACAATTAATTCCAACTGATCACTTTGCCTGCTGTCATCAATCGGTATATTAGAAATGAGCTCAATCAGCTGAGCTCCAAATGCTTCTTTCAACTTATGAAAATTCTCATGGCCATCAGTAATGAAGGAGCTAAGAGTGAATTCTGAATAATTCTGAACATTAACAAATGTAGGCCACTTAGCAATACATTTATCCAATATCCATGAATCATGCATCCAATTGATTGATTCTCCATTGTAAATCCTCCATCTAACCACGTTTCTAAGAAACTTAGCCCCCATAGTAATGATTTTCCATGCAGGTGAGCACCCAACCTTCACAGAAGAGGACCAGATATCTTCTCTATATTTAACTCTCAAAATCTGATTCAATAAAGAATTGGGATTGCTATAAAAGTTCCAAGCAAATTTGACCCGTAATGGACCAACTCTCGATATAGCCGAAAATAAGCCTCTACCACCTTCACATTTCGGCTTACAAAGTAGGATCCAAGAAACATAATGAATACCAGCATTACCATCCCCCTTCCTCCATAAGAAACCTCTACACATCTTATCAAATTCCATCAAAATGCTCAAAGGAACAAGAGAAAGAGAAGACAAGAATAAAGGTAGAGATAAAAAAGCTGATTTGACAAGGACCAATCTACCTTCCAAAGAGATGCTCTTAGTACCCCATGTATTCAGCTTACAAGATGCTGATTCAAAAAGGTTCTCGAAATCCGAAGGCCCCGACCTCCTCAAAGTCATTTTAACACCAAGATAACTGAATTCCTTAACTTGTTTAAAGTTAAGAAGTTTAACAACCTTCTTTTGAATTCTTCTCCCTGTATGTTTACCAAACAAAATCATGGACTTAGAGTAATTAACTTTTTGCCCTATCCAATCACAGTATTTGTTGGTGATCCTCCTCAACTCCTTAACTTCCTTCACCTTGGCCTCCGAGAAAATTAAGATATCATCCGCAAAAAGTAAATGAGATACCTTAAGGGTTAACCGAGAGACAGAGACACCCCTACTAATCCTTGAACAAAAAGCATCAGAAAGAATTTGTGAGCACAAAATAAAAAGAAAAGGGGATAAAGGGCACCATTGCCTAAATCCACATTTTCCATCAATCCAATCAATCTTCTTTTCATTAATCAAAATGCAGAATTTTGGATTGAGCACGCACTGCAATAAGAGTTTCATAAACTTAAAAGGAAACTTGTAATGAAGGAGGAATTGCCTTAAAGATTCCCAACCCAAGCTATCGTACGCCTGCTCCATATCCAACTTGATTGCTAACAATCCTCCTCTAGATTTGGACCATCTGAACTTATTAAAAACCTCTTGAGCCATAAGCACATGATCAGACAAAGAACGGCCTCTCACAAAGGCCGCTTGATCCACCGAAATGATCTTATGAATAACCTTCGCCAACCTGTTCAAAAGCATTTTAGCTATAATTTTATATATAGTCATGCAAAGACTATTAGGCCGGAAATAACTCTTTACATGCATTAGGTAGGAAACTAATTAAAGCAGAAATGGTTAATAAAATACTTCGTTTCTTACCTACTACTTATGATAATAAAATAACTATAATTACAGAGTTTAAAGATTTAAACATTTACTTTATTGACAATCTTCTTGGATCACTTATTGCTTACGAGCAAGGGGTGAGTCAAAGAAAGATTGATGCAGGTGAACCACGAAGGGAGAAGAATATAGCACCGAAAGTGGAGGAGTCAGAGAGTGAACTCTCACAACCTGAGAATGAAGACTACATCGCACTGATGACTAGACAGTTCAGAAGCTTTTTGAAGAGGAAGCTAAAGAGACGCCAACAATAGAATCGAGGTAAATTTAATAAAATGTCAAGGTTTCAAATGATGTTATTTGTTATGAGTGTAGGAAACCTGGACATATTAAGCCAGATTGCCCAAAACTCAAAGCCACTCCTAGCAATGAGAAAGTAGAGGAGAAACCTATTGTGAAGATGGGCAAGAAGAAATTCCAAAGAGTTTTTTGGGCGGACTCAGCTTCAGACTCGTTATAGATTGGAAAGGAAGAGGAAGTCACTAATCTAAGCTTAATGGCCGATAATCTATATCAGTTAGATCAAGAAGAGGTATGTGACTTATCTTATAATAAACTTTTTGATGTCTCTGAATGCATACATGATGTACATAGAAAGTTAAAGAAAATGCATGCTAGTCTGAACTTAGAATTTCGTGAACTACAAAGAGAAAAGGATATCCTTAGGAAAGATCATACTTTAATTGATAACAACCATATAAAATTGCTTGATGAGTTTGATGATTTGAATAAGAACCATGAAAACATAAAATCATCCTATGTAGAACTTGAAAAAGAATTTCAAGATTTTAAGGATGAATCTCATAGCAAAATATATCGAATAAATTATACAAATCAAATTTTGGAAGATATGAATTCATTTTACAAAGTGAAAATTAAAGCTCTCGAGGATAATAGGATACCCCAAGACTTAATGATTTCATGAATCCTATTTTGTATCCTAAATTTATACAATCCCTGGATAGACATAAGAATAGTATAAGACTTAAGAATCCATTTTTGGGAGTCAAATGTAATAAGTGTGGAATTTTTGTACGTATATCTCACACATGTACATTTAAGAAGAAAACCCATTTGGTGTGGAGACCTATAATGCATAAACCTAGACATAACATACATGCATTTATTTATAATTTGCAAAAAGGTGAATCCAAACTTATTTGAGTTCCAAGTCTAATGTTTGATAATTTTGCAAAAATGCTCTCACACAAGGTCTCGTGAGAGCATATGGTACCAGGACAGTAGTTTCTCAAAGCATATGACTGGAGATTCTGATCAATTCATATCGCTGGAAGCCAGTAGTGGAGGCAGGGTTATACTTGGAGATAACACCACAAAGAAAGTGGTTGGGTCAGGTATGATTGGAAATCTTAAAAACTTTTTTATTGAAAATGTATTACTTGTAGAAGGCTTAAAGTATAATTTGTTAAGTATTAGCCAGCTATGTGATAAAGGATACTGTATAAAACTTTTCCCTACTGGCTGTATATTAAGCCTAAATGGTAATGATGTTTTGAATGGTATACAGGTAAACAATGTGTATATACTAGACTTGAATTGCATTAAAACTCCTACTGCTTTTTATTTAAAAACTATTTCTAATGAATCATAGCTTTGGCATTGAAGACTTTGTCACTCCAGCATGAAAAACCTTAGGAGGATTACTCCAAAAGAACCTAATGAAAGGTATATAAAAATTAGACTTTATTAAAGACCACCTATGTGATGCATGTCAATTAGGAAAATAGGTAAAATCATCTTTTTAGTCCAATAAGGATCTTATAACTAGTAAACCGTTGGAGATATTACATATGGATCTTTTTGGACCCGTTGGAACTGTAAGTCTAGGAGGTAAGGTATACAAATTTGTTATTGTGGATGATTATTCTAGATTCACATGGGTTAGATTTCTAAATTATAAGAGTGAATCATTTGAAGAGTTTAGAAATTTTTTGACTTGTATTCAAAGGAAACTATGATATGAGATTATGACAATTCAAAGTGATCATGGTGGAGAATTTGAGAATGAAAAATTTGAGGATTTCTGTAAGGGGAAAGGAATTGATCACAACTTTTCCGCACCATAACCACTCAGCAAAATGGGATAGTCGAAAGGAAAAATAGAACATTAATAGAAGCCGCCCAAGCCATATTGGCAGAGTATTCACTTCCTAAATATTTTTGGGCCAAGGCGGTTAACACTGCATGTTATGTTCTGAATAGGGTGAATGTGAGATCAAACTTAAATAAAACACCCTCTGAGTTACCAAAGGAAAGAACACCTAAATTTTCACATTTGCATGTCTTTGGATGTAAGGTGTTCATTCATAATAATAGAAAATCTGCCTTAGAAAAATTTGATCCAAAATCAGATAAAGGAATTTTAATTGGATACTCAAGTGTTGGAGAATCTTATAGAGTATTCAATAAAAGAACTTTGGTAATTGAGGAGACCACACATGTTATTTTTGATGAATCTAGAATTTTGGAAGAGCCAATTGTTGAAGAAGATGAGATAGAAATTAACTCCCAAAAGATTGAGAAAGTTAATTTGAAAGAAAATTTGGAGGTAGAAATCCTAGTGCCTAAAAATTTGAGATTTTTTAAAAATCAACCAATGGAATTTATTATAAGAGAACCTAGTGAGGGTGTTAGGACTAAGCATGGACTAAATAAAGAAGTCAATCATTCAGACTTTATTTCAAAGATAGAACCCACAAATATTGATCAAGCACTTTTGGATGAATTTTGGATATTGGCTATGTAAGGAGAACTAAATCAATTTGTAAGAAATGAAGTTTGGAAATTAACTACAAGGCCAAAGGATCAAAGTGTAGTTGGAAATAAGTGGGTATTCAATAACAAAATGAATGACTCAGGAGCAGTCATAAGAAATAAGGAAATATTGGTGGCTAAGGGGTATAATTCGATTGAAGGGATTGATTTTGAGGAAACTTTTACCCCTATAGCTAGACTTTAAGAAATTAGGGTTTTGTTAGCCTTTGCCTATTTTATATGATTTAAATTGTATCAAATTGATGTTAAAAGTACCTTTTAAAATGGGGTAATTCAAGAGGATGTTTTTGTAGAACAACCTCCAGGGTTTGAAAATTTTAAATACCCAAATCATATTGTCAAATTGGAAAAGTCATTAATGGATTGAAACAGGCACCTAGGGCTTTGTATGAGAGGTTGAGCACCTTCCTATTTGACAAATCTTTTGAAAAGGAAGTGTGGACATAATTCTATTTTTAAAGAAATTGGGAGAGGATATACTCATTGTACAAATTTATGTTGATGATATCATCTTTGGATTTATAAATAAAAATCTTTATGATGAATTTTCTAAAATAAAGAGTAGTGAATTCGAGATGAGTTTAATGGGAGAATTGAGTTTCTTTCTAGGTTTTAGCATTATGCAAATTGAGAATGGCACATTTCTTAGTTAGTCAAAGTATATTAAGGACATCCTCAAAAATTATGAAATGGATAATGCTAAACATGTTAGTACACCTATGAGTTCCTCGGTTCAGTTGGATAAGGATCCTAAGGGAAAATATGTTTATCAAAAGAAATTTAGAGGAATAATTGGATCTTTACTTTACTTGATAGCTAACCAACCCGATATCATATTTAGTATTTGCTTATGTGCTAGATTTCAATCAGATCAAAAAGAATCACATTTGACAGTAGTGAAAAGGATTTTAAGGTATCTGTTCGAAATGCAAAACTTAGGAATTTGGTATCTTAAGTTTAGCTCTTCATTTGAAATAATTGGAAATTTAGATTCAGATTTTGCATATTCTAGGGTTGATAGAAATAGTACTTCTGGAACATGCCAATTCATTGGAAATTCTTTAGTCTCTTGGTCCAGTAGAAAATAAAATTTAGTAGCCTTATCTACTGCTGAAGCTCAATACATTATATTAGAAAGTTGTGTGGCACAAGTACTTTGGTCGAAATAATAGTTGATTGATTTAGGATTAATTATAGGCACTATTCCCATTTATTGTGATAACACTAGTGATATTTGCATTTCTAAAAATTCTAGTCAACATTCAATAACCAAACACATAGACATCAGGCATCATTTCATAAGCGGTCATGTATACAAAAGAGAAATTGAACTCGTTCATGTTACAACAGAAAATCAACTTGTATATATTTTTACAAAACCACTAGCCTTTGATACTTTCAGTACATTAAGAATAAGGCTTACTGTGATTGATTTGAATGCTTAATTAAAATGATTCTGCAACATTGATGTGTGTTTTTGTTAGTGTGTTGTATGACTTTTGATTTTGTGATTTTCTTTATAAATTTTTTTTATTTTTTTGTTCATGTTCGATTTTGCAAACTTCTGTTTATTTTATTTTATGTTCTCTCACATCTAGATTCATGATTTTGAATGTTGACTTGGAAATTAGAGTGTATATCATTTGTACGAAATTAATTTCATACGGGATGAAGCGTGTAGCATATTAACTGTCGATTTGAACGGTTTGCATGCAGTTTTTCAGTTTTCATATCACCATTCATTTGTACAATCATCACGATCATCCAAACGATATATATTTAATCATATGTACGCATGTAGATGGTTATACATATAAGATCAATTTATTTATTTCTGATTGTACGTACGAACGTTCAGCTTGTACATATGAACTTGTGGCGATTCAATGTAGGGGACGTTTCAAACTGTCATTAAAATGATCTTAAAACATTGATCATCCCGGACGAACACCTATTCATCTATACGATCATTTTGGTCAAAAGTCTGTACGAAAGTATGCCTCGTAACTTATATGCTTACGAAAAGCCATTTCTTTTTTGGACCCATTCATTCTTCCATA